TCTGGGCAAATGCTTTGAACATTTGATTCCTTACATTTCTCATATGTAAGAATAATATGTATATATAATAAAAAGCAGAAAATACTTCTAAATTTTCTTTTAGCCCTAACAGGTCACATGCCAGTACAAATAATACACAGGGAGCAACTTTGGCCCTAGTATTTCTGGTGTCTATCAGAATCCATGCCTACCTGGGGATTCCTGTGTCCGTGTGGCTCTGAATGGACATTTTAAATTTCCTACATTGTGCGAAATTTAAACCTGAACCTTGCAGGTACGGACAACTGCTGACACCTGGTAGACTGGAGGTACACCAATACAGGAGGTGGTCCCACTGGAAGACAACTTGGAGCTGACGTCATGTATTATCAAGTGGTGCTCTGGGTTCAGTCTTTCTCTGACTGTGAGTGAAGGAGCATTCCAAGACTGACAAGTGACTAGACAGAATGCCTCTCGACAGACTTGGTGCACAGACGGTAGCACAAGGTACTGACAGCGAATTCACCTGTGATGGAAGCTTCACCACACACACAAAACTGCTGAACGCTTTAAATGTAATCAAATTGATGAAATGGCTTTTTTTTGCTTACAAATACCTTGTGAGCAAGAAAATACGATAGCAGCTGCTGGATGAATTATTAACTGTGCATTATTCGCTTAGCTCCAGTAATTCTTTCCAATATACCAGAAAAACTGCTACTCGTGTAAGTTATGCAAAATATGCAGTTCTAAAGCAACTGGGATCAATGGTCTCCATATGGACTTCTCCCTAAATCACTAAAAACCCCTGTAGGGGAATGGAGTCAAGCATGGTTTTGTCAACATATAATTTAAACAAATACAAATTTGCTTGAGGTTTTACGTCCAGGGCAAAACAAATGAACAAACAAAATCCTAGCTAAAACACCAGTATATGAAACAGCTTTTGGAAGGCAACCATTCTTGTTTATATTTTAATATTATTTTGAGCATTTGGCATTCAGAAATCTACGCTAAAAATCTACTCTTGATTCTTCCAAAGTGATTGTGATGTCATCAGAATTTCTTATAGGATTCACAAAATACTTCCATCTTCATTGGTTCTATATTTTCTCACCACCCACTACAACCATTGTCTACCCACAGTCATTGATTATGGTACGAGATATTCCTGCTAACTGGCTGTATCTCCGACAGCAAAGATGGAATCAAAACAAAGACATTCTAAGGGGTGTTCTCTGTTTCTGAACTGTATGGGATTATAGGATAGGGAACATTTTTACTCTTGGAAAGAACCTGTTCTACCAAGAATGGTCATCAGTATTTTCAAAAAGAACAGAATCAGTGGAAGGAAAAAGAAAGAGATATATGAGGAAAACCTCCCATTCTAGAATCTGGGAGGATGGCAGGATATCCATTCTGAAAACGAGATGTGGGGGAGCATCTAGTTTTTCCCCTCAGTGCATGCTTCTGAAGGCCACTGCACTGCAAACTTCATTTAAATCTAAAAATCATTCAACTTAGATTTCTTGTGGCATATAAATTAAACAATTAAGACTATTTAATCTTGACAAAATCCATATACAGTTCTGTGCATGAAAAAAAATGCCTGGATTATAACTTCAAGGAGTAACCATGGCTTTTCACACAGGTAGAAGAAACCAGCCTTCTCCCTGTTTTGTCACCAAAAAGGTATCTGCTTCATGAATTCTTCCTCACCGTGCCATAACATCTAGGAGTACTTCAAATGTGATGCAGTTCACCCAAGTTGTGAGTTTTCTTACCTCTGCCAGAAACAGCAAATGAACAGGGAGTAGGAGAAAGGGTGACACTGCATTGCATGGTCAGTACTCTCTAATTAGTTGCCCTCCTGATGTTTCAGATTACAACTCCAAACGGAGCCAGGTACCAGGGTCCATTACAAAGGGAGCTGTAGTTTAAAATACCTAGAAGAGATCAGACTGGGGAATGTTTTCATACTTGTTTTGGCTGGGAAGGGGAAAACACAACACAGAGATTGTGCTCCTACAGGATATGCAGTTGAATTCTTCACTTGAGTTCTGAAGTGAGGGCAAGTTCAAGGGCAGGAAAGGTAGAGTTCAAGGTGGAAAGAGAGAAATTAAGAGGGGCCAATCAGAAACAAACCAAACCTGCTCCCAACTTGAATTCAAGAGGAGAAAGGACTCCTTTAGGGAAGACTCTCAAATAGAACTTTGAGACAGAACAGTGAGGGAAACCTGATTCTCCTTCTTTGACAACACCATACCATAAGTTGTACGAAATATCAACAGACACACACATTCATATTAATGTACAATTAATGACCTACAGGATCAATAATAAGCAGACTTTGAACATCAAAATGGAAGTTTCTAATTTGACATCGGCAACATAAAACTTGACAACACATCACACTATTTTACAGCTGTATGCAAGATGTCTTGAAAAGCTCTGGACTGAATCTTTAGAGGGGAAGGCATATTTGTTTGAAGAAAAACAAAGCTTTGCACACAATACACTGCAATTGATTTTCTCCCATCAATATTAAAACATAATCTTGATTTCTGAATTTATATTTAATTTACTCTCTTTTGACATTCAGAAAACCAGAGGCAGCAATGTTCAGGCTTGGAAGCTTTGATTTAGTTAGAAATCCTTTCTTGCCTGTTATTTGATTTTGAAAGTTTGATCATACTCGGATGCAATGGGGAAATGATGTTGGAGACTTCTACCTTCTGCCTTTGAGACAGGGAAATATGTGATCCAGTGTTATTCAGAGACTATTTCATTGTCTATGTGTCAGATTATTGTGGTGTATTTGTCACTGGACTTTCTTATTATTTCTACAATTGGATCAATTGTGCGAGCAGTCATTGTGATTGTACAAGACTATTGACACTAAACAAATCATCTAAGTAAAGTTAAACCCAAAGGGACATGTTTATTTCCATAACATCCAACTGTCAGAAAAGCATTCTTCTATAAAGCATTACTATTCTCTTACACAAAGGGTCTTAAGGCATGTGCATATAAACTTGATATTACTTGTTATATTTGCATTCTTATTGTAGGGGTATGCTTATCAAGCTGGAATTTAAGTTTGCTGTTGTGGTAAAGTGTCCAACACTTGATGAATGAAAGGAACATTTAGGCTGTTCTATTAAAAAAGATTTTCAAGCAAGACTTTGATCTTTCTCTTTAAACTAAGAGCCCCTATTGGTTACAATGCCCTAGAGTATCATTATTTTACTAACCTGATTGCCCATGCTGGGAATCACAAACCAATGGCCCTCTAGATGTTGTTGGATGACAACTTTCATCATTCCTGGCCAGTACCCATATTGGCTGCTGCTGATGGCAGCAGGAGTTCAAGAACATCTTATGAATCCACATTTTACTCTGTATCAGCAACTGCTCTATGCAAGCAATTTATAAATGTTCTAATAAATAAAGAACATTTCTTCAAATCAATTTTTTGCAAGTTTTACTGAAGCTAATCCCCACTGAATCCACACCAGCAGAGGTACTACATTATAGTTTATTGTTTGTTCTGCAAATATGTACTATCTCTCTCTCTCATTCCTGGAGGCTTCCATTTTACAATTATGCACAGGCTCAGATAGAAGTGTGTCTGCACCAGAAGATACATTTAATGATAATAGTTGTGGTCTTCTAGGGAATCTTGGAGTTCCTCAGAAGCTTATAGGAGCTGGTCAGTCACAAGGTCATTAATGGTTGCCAAGCTTCTTTGAAAGACAGATTTCTAAGATTACAATGACTCCTGTTGGCCTTCATGACTCATTTGAGCTTGCAACACTACTCTGAGATGCAACAACTTCTTATTTGGATTGAAGACATATAAACTTTGACTCCTTCCTTGCATACAACAGGACAAGAGACATCTGAGCTGATACTGTCAAGTTGAATCAGATAATCCTGAGAAATAATTGATATATACACTACAGTTTGTAACATGATTATATATATATATTTGAAAAAACCAAAAGCTCTCTTTTCTACCCAGTGGTATTGTTCAGGTTGGAGCATTGTCCTTGAGCATACATTTTAATAAGTAAATAACAATTATATTAATTAGGTAACATTATAGCTGAATCTTTCTTTTCAGAAATGATAGACAGATAGGTCATAAGCATGTATTTGTTATGATACTACTGATGGAATCATCTTTAAATTGCTTTTGTGTATTTTTTGTAGATTTTCCTGATGGAGGACCATTACAATGAAAAAGGTCACAGACACATTGGAATGATTCTTTTTTTGGCCAGTCTTCCTGTCTGCTGTACAGTCACAGGGGCAAGCAGCTGGAGCACAGTTTTATAAGCATACCTTTAGTTTGTATTTCACAAGGGGCTCTTCAGAAACTGAGTAACATAGTGGGAAAAAGGGCAATTATCCCCAGAGAACTGTGGGTTACCTAAGAGTCAGTCCATCAGATCACAGTACAGTGGACCCTCGACTTACAGATGGCTCGACTTACAGACTTTTTGAGTTACAGACTTCTCTGGCTGCAAAATTTAGATTCAACTTGCAGCCAGAGAATCGACTTATAGACCAGAAAAAAACCAAAATGGAATAAAAATAGAATAAAAACCACTGGTTATGGGATTAATCGGTTTTCAGTGCATTGTAGGTCAATGGAGATTCGACTTACAGACTTCTCGACTTGCAGCCACCATTCCAATACGGATTAATTCCTTAAGTAGAGGGTCCACTGTAGCTCTGATTCACAGTGTCATGTGAACACAATGAAGGCCCTATGGAGCTCTGGACCAGCATGGATTTCACTATTCTCTTTACTATCAGAGCATGTGAACCAAGGTTAAACACATGAAACACTTCTACATGGTCAGGCCAAACAAGCATGACATGCTTCATAAGGAAGAGATTCTATGGCAAACATTCTCTTTTCTTAAGATTTAATTTACCATCCCATTAAAATAATGTTATTCCCATTTTTCATGTACATTGCTGTTTGCTTTATAATCTTACTTTCGTGTTACCTGGCAATTTTGTCCGTGCAAGACATGGTGACCAGCGGCTCTCCCAGTAGCACACCATCCCACGTCTGAACTGCGTTGGGACATCGAGCCGGGATGGTTCCTTCTCCAGATTCAATCTTTGTTCGGAGATGCCCACGGTACTTTCTTACTATGTGCTTAATGCTGTTCACTGGATAAAAAAAGAAAAGAAAATGAAAGAAATACAGCAACGCTGGAAAGGAGAAAACCACAATCCATTTTGTTATGTTTTACCTCCCCAGAAGTGGGAAAACTTCATTTTCACCAGGCGTACAATCTTCAGATTTTTGGGAACTGCAGTTTAAAACCTACAGGTCTCTCCTCTCTGTCCCTCTCTCTACATACATATGGTAGACAGGAAGATGAGGAAGGTTGTCATCTCTTGCACACCTGCCTGAGAGTAAGCCCCACAGAAAATAGTGTGATTTAAGTAACGTTCCATACAGCCAACTGCAGACAGGTTTGCTTGCTGAATTACTCAGACCAAGGAACCATGCCACAGTCAGAAGGATATGACAACTGATTTGCTATTGCTGAGTAGGAAGTAGCCGTGTGGCAATGATTTTCTATCACCTTTACCCATCACCGGTTTGCAGCCAGGCTCAATGTACTGGCTTTGGCACTAGAGACGGGCATGAACCTCCACCTTGGTGCTTTGTCCCAGTTTATTTACTGCTGCAACAGGTGTTTAGCACCCCACTCCCTCTGGCAGGCACCCACTCAGAAGAAGCACCTGGAGGAGGCAGGCCTAGGAGGCTGCTTCCAAGTGGGTGCCCACTGGAGGGGGCAGGGCATCAATCGCTGGCAGGCATCCATTCAGAAGAAGCACCTGGAGGAGGCAGGCCTAGGAGGCTGCTTCTGAGTGGGTGCCCGCTGGAGGGGGTAGGGCATCAATCATCAAACACCCTGTTGTGCTAGTAAGTGAACCACGATGAACTGCTAAATCCGTGGTTCATGTCCATCACTACTCAGAACCATAAATGATTTGAGAACAGAATGATTCAGAACCACTTCGCTTCTGAGTGGGTGCCCGCTGGAGGGGGTAGGGCATCAATCATCAAACACCCTGTTGTGCTAGTAAGTGAACCACGATGAACTGCTAAATCCGTGGTTCATGTCCATCACTACTCAGAACCATAAATGATTTGAGAACAGAATGATTCAGAACCACTTCGTAATAGTCTCCCTGACATCTTTGTTCTAGAAGCTGTCCATCACTACTCAGAACCATAAATGATTCACAGAATGATTCAGAACCACTTCATAATAGTCTCCCTGACATCTTTGTTCTGTCCCAGAAGCTGTCCACTAGGGCCCAACACAGTCTTAGCTAAGGTGGGTGAAAACCTTGGAAAGGGATTTCTTGGTTGTGGCACCTAGGATCTGGAAGAGCTGATCTGGAGATGAATTCCTGATTCTACTCTACATGGCACCTAGGATCTGGAAGAGCTGATCTGAATTCCTGATTCTACTCTACATCCTTAATTGTATCACCTGCAAAGCACCTTCCATGCTTATTCATGCAACAGCATGGTAAAGCACGACCCATTCGCCCAAGGTTGGGGACCACTGCTTTAACTGTATCACCTGCAAAACACCTTCCATGCTTATTCATGCAACAGCATGGTAAAGCACGACCCATTCGGCAGACAGAAAACTCATTACCTTCCTTTCCCAAAGGAATACATTCCAAGAGAAAGTGGTGTGATACAAGCCCCACTTGTGGGGTGACGCCTTACGGATCATCTAGTTGCCAGGAAAGGCCTTTAAAAAGGATCCGCAACATCCAGTGTAATTAATGCTGCCAAATCATGGGCCTTCCTCTGAATAGGACCATTATGGAAAAAGTCCTATCTGGTGGCCCACTTGAATCTCACTTTGATCTATATGATTGGTCTAACCATATTTCATTATTTCCTCTTCTGTTTTCCTAGCTATAATGCATACACACTCAGCTGGGAGTAAGTCCTAGGCAATGAACAATCTTATGCTTGGGAATATGAGATTCTTTGACATAGCTCTGGCTTCCTTACTGGCATGCCCTGCCTGGTTCATGACTGCGGCACAGAACATGTCTTGCACAAATGGAAAGACCCTTTCTGCATAGGACAGCTTTACAGTTAATTTTAGGAGCTGTCCTGAGCTTGGAGTCCCCCACCCAGCGTGGCTAAAAAGTAACTTGTCCAGACTCTGGGCGTGGTTGTGCTGACTGAGGATAGCAGTCTCCAGCATCAGCCTGCAGACCTGATTTGATTAGCATCCTGCACATATCTGGGCAGTACAGTCGTGCCCCGCTGGACGATTACCCTGCTCTATGACGAATCCGCATTACGTTGATGTTTTTGCGATTGCTTTAAATGGTTTAAATAAGGGAATTTCGCTTAGCGATGATCAGTTCCCTGCTTCGGGAATCAATTTTTGCTTTACGATGATCAGCAAACAGCTGATCGTGGGGGGTTTCAAAATGGCCACAGGCTGAAGAAAATGCCTCCCCCCCCCGTTTTCTAGGATGGATTCCTTGCTTTACAGGCACCGAAAATGGCTGCCATATGGAGGATCTTCGCTGGACGAGCAGGTATTCAGCCCATTGGAACGCATTGAACAGTTTTCGATGCGCTTCAATGGGTTTTTTTGTTTCGTTTGACGATGTTTTCGCTCTACAGTGATTTCGCTGGAACGAATTAACATTGTCAAGCGAGGTACCACTGTATGTATGGGAACTGGTAAATGAGTACTACCTCTTTTGGAAATACGTATGTGCTCTCTGGAACCTTTCAGAAGTTCCATTAAGTTGCCTAATTTTCTGTTTGTTTCATCCTAACTAATATAGGAGGACTCATACCTGTAAGCCATTCTTTTCCTCCTCTAACTCTGATTTGCCTTTTTTTAAAAATAATTTTCAGTCTGAAGTCCTCAAATTACTGCCAAGGCTCAGTATTTCAAAGCTTCAGGTGCAGAAATGGGGGGCGGAGAGAGGGAGGGGGAAAGAGAGAGGTTGATAGAGAGTGTGATGCACAGAGAAAATGAGCTACCTGAAAATATCAGTAATTCCAGGACAGTAAAGAATATGCTGCAATTTACATGACTTTGATTATACTAAGTAAATGTTAGCTGACAAGGATCAAAGCTCGAGCAAAGTGCACTGACAGACATAATTACCAAACGCAAACGGATTCAGACACAAATAAGAGCCCATTCTTGCCAGGCGTTCTGCAAACTTCACTCCTACTCTAGATGGGTTCAGAATGACCTGACACCTATGACTTTTTATACTTCAACTCACTTACGTCAAAGCTTACAGTGCAGTGAGAACAACCTCCCGGCTGTCAAATCCAACAACATGCCCTGAAGTATGATTCGCTAAGGCACATCAACCCTGTACTGTCTGAATGTGTTTGACTACAGCTCCCATTATCCCTACCCAGCACAGCTAGGCCACTCAAGGTTCACTGGAGTTTGTCCAACACATTCTGAGGGCACCAGATTGGGAGAAGCTGCTCTGTGGCGTCTCTGTCACCCTTCTCCCTAGTGTGTCTGCACAGCGCAGACCTCAACTGTGACACCCAAGAGCAGTTTGTAGGAGTGAATGCAGAGCAGCAGGTCAATGTGTCTACGAGATCTATAGAAGGCCCCTAAGTGCTTGAACACATCAGCCAAGGAGCACATTCGTTTCTCCAATGTCATTTGCTAGACTGCCCTTTGAAAACTAAATTTCTAAAAAATATACGTCTTGAGGCATCAGATCAGTTTTCCCCATCTCTGTGAAACCTGATACACGAGTCTCATGCTATTGCCTACAGAGAGCAGTACAGTAACGATTACCCGGTATAATGATGAATCTGCTTCACGACAATGTTTTAATTGGGTTTTTTTGCTTTGCAACGATTGGTTCCCTGCTTTGGGAACCGATTCTTCGCATTACGACGATCAAAATAGCTGATTGTCGGGTTTTCAAAATAGTCGCCGGCTGCTCAAAATGGCTCCCTGCCATGTTTTTGGATGGATTCCTCACTTTACAGGCACCGAAAATGGCTGACCTATGGAGGATCTTCGCTGGACAGTGAGTATTCAGCCCATTGGAACGCATTGAACAGCTTTAAATGCATTTCAATGGGCTTTTAGTGAGTATTCAGCCCATTGGAACACATTAAATGCATTTCAATGGGCTTTTTATTTAACTTTACGACGTTTTCGCTCTACAGCGATTTCGCTGGAATGAATTAATGCCGTCAAGCGAGGCACCACTGTACCTGAAGCGAGCACCTAGGTTCACATGATTTCTGTGGTCCTTCCACTTAAAACGAGAAAGGGAGGAAAACAGAAAGGAAGAGATACTGCTTCCACAGGCATGCATGCATGACTATAAATTCAGGGTACCACCCATGAGGAACAGTGGTGGCTTTGCCCAGCTCTGTATGGAAAATGTCTGTACCTCCATTCCAAATGTGTGAAAGAATATATACAACTTGATTGTATTTCAACAAACTTTGTGAAACTACTGTATTTTTCCATTTATAACATGCCCCTGTTTATAAGACACCCCGCCTTTTCTAACCCCCAAATTAAGAAAATTTAGCTTTGAGTATTCAGCCTCTGGGCTCAGAACATCAGACATTAGGAGTCCCTATTGAATCTGAGCCTACAGGCTCCACCTCCAAGAGGTGTGTTCCAATTGGTTTGTTCAGCATCAGCTGACATCAGTTCCATAAGGCTCATGATTGGAGGAAGCTAAGCCTCCTGACTGTAGGAAGCCTGTTTACAGAGGCAAGGTAGGGGGCGTTTTGTTCTCTCCTCAGCTATCTCAACTTACTTCCGTGTATAAGATCCACCTCAATTTTTAGTGTAATGATTTTAGGAAAAAGTAGCGTCTTATATATGGAAAAATACAGTACCCATAAAAACTCTATTCCTCATTAAATTAAAAGCTAACATTATACACAGAGCTTAGAAATGTTACTTTTTCGGACTGCAACTGGCCATGCTGGCTGAGATATTTATAGTCCAAAAAACTCGCATACAGGAGTGCATGGGCAGTGGATTTGTAAGTGTGGCTATAAAGGATGCAAAGCACTTACAGCAAGAAACAAAGTTAAATATCAAATAACAAATCATAATATTAAAAAAGCATTAAGCAAATATCATAGTAAAGCT